TGCCAGGAGTGGGAGGACTACAAATAGAGGGAAAACAAAAGCTAGGCTGCTGGCTCGTCTGGAGAGCAGGCAGCCGTGGGGGCACAGGGGTGGTCAGCATTCGGCTGGCACAGGAGGAGGCGGGTGGAGACTAAAAGGTGCAGCCTTTGGGGTTCAGCGGGAACCAGAAAGCACGCCTTGTCAGAGAGTGACTGCAGTGCAGAGGTCGTCCATCCCCGCCCAGGACGGTGTGCCCTCCATGGGACCTCTGCTGTCTTTGGGCCAGTCTATTCTCATTTTGCAGTTTCTCGCCTCCACTACTGTCCCCATCAGGCATGGCTGGGGCACCTCTGGGAGCCAGGCTGTGAGAGGATGCAGGGGCTCCAGGAGATAGACCCGCCAGCCATGCTCTCTGGGAGCTCCTAACAGAAGGGCTGGGGGGAGGCAGGAGTCTCTATGGTCTGCAATCAAGGACCCATGTGGTGGGAATTAAGAGGCGGAAGATGCAGAGGCTTTCACAGGGCCCGGGGCCAGGCCCAGTTGGCAGTGATGGCTGCAGATGGGGCAAAAATGTGTGTGGGGGGCCACGTGGGATGTCCATGGGCAGGGAAAACACCCACCAAGCACAGCAGTGTCCCTATGCATGAAGAACAAATGCTTTATCTTCCTGAGATCACATGCTCCCTGTTCTTCTAGGCCCGTCCTAGGCATCACCTCTGGCTGAACCCTGCCATCCTAACCTTTGGCTCCTGGCTTCCAGACTTTCTGGGAAGAGAAGGGAAAGGACCCCTGATGAAGAGGATCTGAGGTAATCTTGGTCCAGACTGCCTCTGCCCTATGACCTGGAGCTGTTTCTATGTCCCAAGTCAGACCTGAAAGGGACAGGAGGAGCTGCCTCTCTGGCCAGCACAGGCACGAGCCTTTCCCAGGAGGAAAACGGTGTCTTTGAACTAAACAGAGGGAGTGCATAGGCAGAGGGAGCCCAAGTGGTTATGGGGTGACAAGAGCTAGGAAGGGACAGTGTGGGGCCGAAGAAATAGTTTTGTTGATGTCTTTGAGGCCCTGCCTAGGGAGATTTCATATTTGCAACAGATCAGTGGTGGGACACCTGGTGGGACTGGCTGAAATCTGGAGCTGCCTCAGAGGTGAGGTTCCTGGCACCAAAGAACAGACAATACCATTGTGGTGCAGCCTCTGTCCCTCCTCTCTAGACCCACAGAATGACAGCAGCAGGCAGGGTCTTAGGGGTGGAGGGGCTCTGCTGGAAGGATTCCCATGTCCTCCACCTTGGTTGTGGCTGCTGATGTCATTAGGAGTACATCCCCGTGGGGTGTGGACATTCTGGGAGTTGGCATCTGGGAGGCTTTGACTCAGAGCCTGGGCTGAAGGGCTACCACGCAGGGCAAGAGCAGGCCTCTCCAGCACCCCACGTGGCGCGGCGGCGGGGGCGGTGTCACAGGACCCCGAGCTCTCCCCAGCATCAAGGAGGGAGGAGACGGGGCTTTGCCAGGGCAGAAGCTCAGCTGTGATGAAGGAAAGACTTGGGTTCCAGAAGGAGAAATCATGTCCGATAGGAGGACTTGAGGGCAGCATGTCTGGGTCCTTGCTGTGGGGACAAGAGGGACACGACAGGGCCCAGTCTCAGGAAGTGGCGTGGCCCTGGAAGGGAGTCTGGGAATTCTACATCAATGAGGCAGCCATCGCTGCTTTAAGTGGCTGCTGAAGAGCCTCCGGGTGGAAGGGGCAGGCGTTAGGAATCGCATCGGGGAATTCAGCCAAAAAGCAGGTCCCGGTGGGAAGGGTGCAGGGAGCCCTGGCCGCGGGGGGGAGTTACAGGAAAACCTCAACCTGAACAGACCACTCTTGGGGCTCTTCAAGCACGGAAAAGAATCCTTGCCGGGCAGTTCCAGAGATGAGGTGAGGAGCAAAGGCCCAGTGATTCTGAAGAATGTGAGGGGGAGGAGAGTGGGGAGTGTTCCACCAGGACAGCCACAGCCCACAGTGAGCAATAAAGGCTCTGAAGTGAGGCAGGCTGGAGCCATCTCCTCCACCCCGCCTGCCCCCAGCTCGGGGTTTCTCTCCTCCTGGGAAGAGAGGGACCCAAGAGCTTGTCTGATCTTTTTTTTTTTTTTTTTTTTTTTTGAGACGGAGTCTCGCTCTGTCGCCCAGGCTGGAGTGCAGTGGCGCGATCGGCTCACTGCAAGCTCCGCCTCCCGGGTTCACGCCATTCTCCTGCCTCAGCCTCCCGAGTAGCTGGGACTACAGGCGCCGCCACCTCGCCCGGCTAATGATTTTTTTGTATTTTTAGTAGAGACGAGGTTTCACCGTGTTAGCCAGGATGGTCTCGATCTCCTGACCTCGTGATCCGCCCGTCTCGGCCTCCCAAAGTGCTGGGATTACAGGCTTGAGCCACCGCGCCCGGCCGAGCTTGTCTGATCTTTTTCGGGAGAGTCAGAGCCCGGTGGGAACAAGCGGCGGGGGTGCTGGGGGGCTGGAATGCAGCGGCTTCAGCTGCAGACAGGCCTGGGCCCAGATGGCCGTCATTCTGGAGCAGAAGTAACCCAAGGCCAGATGGCTGGATGACCAGAGCTGCCCCACTGCCTATCTGGCCAGGAGTGGGGACTGCAGACAGAGAGGCCACCCCAAGTGACCATCAGGAATGTGCTGGGAGGGAGGAACCTGGAATGTCACCCTATACAACATAGCACTGCTCCCCAAGCCAGGAGGCCCCACTCCCAGAGAATGTCCCAGGGTTCAGAGGGTGAGAAGTCTGTCTGCAGGGACTATGCAAGGTTAAAACCTTCCCTTAAAACAGGGTGCACAGACTGTCCAGACCTGGCGTGGACTTCACAGAAGGCTGTGCGTGGGGAAGGCCCAGAGAAAAGGGAGCGGGGAAGGAAGGGAGATGGGGGCTCAGGGTGCCAGCGGGGCCACCATGCGATGTCCTGAGACACAGATCCTTTTGGAATTGGAGTCACTAGCCTTGGTCTCCCCTGAAGGGAGAGGTGCTCCTGTTAGCCATCTGCCAAGGGGACAGGCATGGGCAGTGAGGGAGGTGGAGCCTGTGTTGGCAGGACAGAGCACTCCAGGCTGATAACATGGCTAGCTTTCCTGATCTGGCCTGTGAAGAGCTTCCTGGCATCCTTAAAGTCATATGCAGGGGCTGGGACTCTCGGGCTGAAGTCAGGCCCCCTGTGAAGATGGGTGAGCTGTACTTGAATCTGGCTTTCACATGGTGTGCTGGCTTATCTCCCTTGGTCATTCCTGTGCTTTTGCCAAGCCCTGTTCAGGTGTTCTGCCTGGTTCTGTGGGGCTAAGGTGAATTCAGGAGGAGGCAGGGGGCAGCATTACCCGTGGTGGCATTGGGGTGACAGGGCTGTCACTGAGGGATATCCAAGAGGAGGAGAATCTCAGGAACTTTAGGTCCTTCCGCTCTGGGGAGTAACAGGAGCAGAGAATCCTGCCGTCAGCATTGCTGGGTGGCTGGCTTAGCTCACTGCTAAGGGCAAGGGCACACATCTTGGGTCTGTGAGGCCCTGCCCCTTTGCTCCTGCAGATTCTCCCTCCACTGTCACTGGAAGCATCTGGGACAGATGCTGTCTGGGGTTCCCCTGACAGAAGCAGCTGTGAGCAGGACCCCAAGGCCACCTTGGAAATAGTCTCATGACTTTAGAGGACTCATCTTTTTTTTTTTTTTTCCTGGAAAACCATGGTCCCTGATTTGATATCCAGTCTCATTCACAACCTTGCACTGTGTCCTCAGGCCAAAGCTTTGGGCCCACTGAGGAAAATCAAAAGAATGAGCTGTCAGCAATTCCCAAAGACACATCTCCAAGAGGAAGTGGGGCAGCAGCGCCACTGGCGTAAATGTGGGGCTCTCAAGGTGAGTTCTTTGAGAGGGACAGTGGCAGTGTGGGGAAGGGACCTAGTCTAGTAAGTCATGGTCCCAGGGCAGGCATCGCCAGGCTCTGTACACATAGGATACACCGAAACGACCAAACCCTGACGCCAGGCCACCCACCAGAGCCCTCCCCACCTGTGGACATGGCTGAGAAGATCAGCCTCGCACCAGGAACCACAGATAGCACCAACGGGCCATATTTTCCAAAAGTGAGGCCTATCTAAAGCTGGCAGCGGGCAGATCTGACCCCACATCAACCCGTCAATCAGTTTTGACTGCAAAAATTGCTGTACAGAGTAGGCATATAACATACGTTTGCTGAAAGGGACGGAGTCTATGAAAGATGAAAGGTTTATAATGTATTGATTTCAAATTTCAAGTTTTATAACAGCATAAAGTTGCCCCCCTTCCTCAAATGGAAAGGCAAAGAGGAGAACATAAAAAGAGGCCCAGCCTTTAGGTCTGACCCAAAAATGACTGAAAGAACCTACAGGCATCTCTGCAGTTTACTGGTCACAGACTTTGCTGTTACACAGAGACTGGGATTCCAGTCCCAGCTCTGCTATTTTCCAGCTGCACAGGTCAGCTAGCCACTGGGAGATGTGTCGTAAACAAAGCCAACCATGTCTCCCCATCTTTCCAGGGCCTGGCTGTGGCAAGAGTGTATTTAAGGTGCCTAGGATGGCCCCTGGCATGCAGAGCAGGCTTAATAAAGGTGAGTGGCTGCTTCTCCAAATCAAACGAAGGGGCGGCACTCCATCCGGGGAGTGCCATCCATTCAAACTGGGTTCCACGAGTTTACGGCTGGAAGGAGAAGAGGAAGCCAAGCAACCAAGGTGCTTGAGGCGCCCCACTTCCTTCCCAGCCAGAACAGCCCGCTCTTACCTGCTGTATGTCATGGGCTTCCACCTAATATTGTATCTGAGAAAATACTGCAGCCCCTAAAAAGGGTTTGAAAGTCACAGCACCAGGTGATGCCTAGCACCCCCTGCTAGCCGCAAGCCTGCATGTGTCTGGGATCCATCTGGGTCTCTGTCTCCATCCCCAGCCTCCCTGCCCAACTCTGCTGTCCCCATGGCCTCTGGCCCCGTCCCCCGCACCCGAGGGCTGCCATGCGCACCTGGTGAAGCGGACCTCGCAGATGGTGCACATGTATGGCTTCTCCCCGGTATGGGTCCTCATGTGCCGCGGCAGCTTCCCGGCCCCCATGATGACTTTGTGGCAGATGGGGCACTGCTGAGAGGCCTTGGGCTTCAGCTTGCGCTCTTCCACCAGGGGCCAGGGTGGGAAGAGGCCTCCCAGGTGGGTGGCACTGAGGAAGTTGAGATAGGCACCGTAGTCGTTCTCCGCCTTGATGGGTCCCAGAGGGCCCCCCGGCAGGTCAGGGAACATGTCCTTGAAGAAGTCATTAGGGAAGGGTGGCGGTGGGGGTGGGGGCAGCTCGTCCTTCTCCTCTTCCTTGATCTTCCGATTCTTGATGACCAGATCCAGTGGCCCACTGTCCATGGGCTGCTCAGGCAGCTGGGCAAAGGCACCGAAGTCCCCTGGCCAGAGGTGTGGGAAGAAGTCCGGGGCGAATGGAGACAAGGAGGGTCTCCTGTCGGGGATGTTGGCCTTGGGGTACAGGTTCTCCCTCAGCAGAGATTCGATGGAAAAGTCCCGGATCACCCCCAGATGGCCAGGACTGCCAGCCTGAAAGGAGTCAGGGAAGTCCCTGGGGGTGTCTGAATAGGCCTTCTCTGTGAGATGGTCCGTCTTGGAAGGGCTTTGGTGGCAGCTGATGTCCTGGGGGTCAGGCAAGTTTTCTTGGTCAGCAAAGTCCTCCGTGTCATCATCGTCATCCTCCTCTTCCTCCTCCTCCTCCTCCTCTTCGTCCTCCTCATCATCATCATCTTCGTCATCATCGTCATCCTCCTTGTCGTCCTCCTCCCCTCCGTCCCCCCCAGGCTCCATGATCTCCAGGCACACGTTCACAATGCACTGGATCTCCAGCATCCTGGCTGCATTGAGGATGTGCTTGACGTTGCCGGCAGTGATGGTGAGTGTAGAGGTGTAGGCGAACTCCAGGATAGCGGCCAGAGCCTCAGGCTGGACAAAGTCGATCTCGTAGACGTAGGGCTGGCTGGCTAGGGTGCCAGCTGTGAAGAGCTTCTTGAAGTACTTGCTGCAGGCAGCCAGGACAGAGCGGTGGGTCCGATACTCCTGCTCCTGTACCACCAGGAGCACGTCACACAGCAGGCCATCGTGCCGCTGCTCATTGAGGCTGCACAGGACCTCACTGCTGTGGTTGGGGAAGGGAATGCCAATGAGCTCATCAATGTCATTGGCCATGTTCTCAGCCAGAGCCCTGCAGAGACACACAGAGAAGACTGGGTTAGTGAGCGTGGCCCCAGGAGGGGTCTCAGCTCTAGGACTCTGAGCCACTTTCTTGGCATAAGGGCTCCCTTTCCACTGCGAGGCCAGTCCTTCTACCTCTCAGCTTTGCCAAATCTCACCTGCAATTCACAGCCTGGCTTACAGACTGGGGCTTTTCTCTGGACCCCTAAGACTCTTGGAGTTAGGCTTCTCACTGGGCAGCTGGTGTCAGCTACTCACTAAAGGCTGCAAGGCTTCTCTCAGGCTTGGTTTTACTGATTTCCACTTTGCCAACATGCAGCTGCAGAATACAACTGCAGGATGAAAAGCCACATGAACCCAGCTGTTGCCTTGGCTACAGGAACAGGACCCACCTCTGTGGGGCAAGGACCTCAGTGCTTCTGCTGAGAAGATGCTCTGATTTGTCTCACAAATCCTCTGACTCTGTAACAGACTTACACTTTGCACTGGCTACTAGGAAGCTTAAAACAAATTTCGTGGCCCATTTTCAGCAAGTGAATGGGGGCTCTGTGGTATGTTTTGCTTCCTGACCTTACTCGTTCATTGTAGTTGAAGTTTCCTTCCATTTGTAAATCTTGATCTTTTTTTAAAAAAAACACTAACTTCCTATATGTGTATATCTGAGAGAGATTTCACCTATATTTAAATTCAATACAAATATAAATGCAATATTCAATATAAATATAATGCAATATAAATATAAATTCTAGTACATTGTTAGTTAATTTTTCATGTCTATATTCTGTTAGCCTCATGAAAATATCAACCCCTGTGGTGAGAAGCATCTTCTGAGACACCTTATCATTATATATGTTATATGTAAAGTATGGCCAGTGGCAGCCACCAGGAGAAAGCAGGGCATGACAGAGGACAACTGGCATCCCTTCCTTTAGGAAGCACAGCTCACAGCCTAGGTGAACATAGTCAACCGGGACAAAATGCGGCATCTGCCAGGGAAGGTAGGGGCATCCAAGGAGAGAAAACAATCATGGGTTGTTTGTTTCTGTTTCTGATTGGGCCAGTAAAGCCCCTTCCTCATCCCTCTTTTCCGCTTATCACTAGAGACAGAAACTAAAAACCATGGCTTCAGGCTGCTAAAAGCCTAAAACAAAACAACAAAACAGAACAACAACAACAATAAAATAAGGTGGGTCGGACAAGCTTGACAGGGCTCTTCCACTTACAGCAAAGCTTCAACATGGCCCATCTAGATAAATCCTAGCAAAGCCCTGGCCCTTATCTTGGTACAAATAAAGTGGGGAGAAAACAAAAAGGAAAACAAATCCTAAAGCCCCACGCCCCAGTGGGAAGAGCTCTGGAGATCCTTACGCCTTTATCTTCTGGATGTTTCTGCCCTGGGAAGGCAGAGGCAGTGGGAGGGGAGGAGTGAGAAGTGCCGGCTCATAAAGTGAGAGTGTGACCTGGAGGCACTGGGGAGGTGGCAGGCATGGAGGATGCTGGGTGCCCCTCCCCTGCCCTCACCTTCTCCTCTACCATGGGGCAGCCCAGGTCTTCCCTAAGCAATTTCACAGGCCAGGTGCTCAGGAGGCTTCCCAGAGCTAAGGCCTCACTGCTTTCCTACCTTCTCATCTTTAAAAGGGCCAGAGACCCTGGCAGTCCATTCATTCATTCTCTAAATATTATTGGGTAGTCTCCCCATGCCAGGCTCTGTACTGGACTCTGGGGATGCACAGAGAACAAATCAAGAAGGCCTTTGCTCTAACAGAGCTTAGAGGGATATAACAACTGTGATAAAAATGTACAGCAAGATTCACCAAACAGAGTATACAGATGCAGATAAGCCATCTTATCTGAAAAGATGTTCAATATCATGAGTGATTAGGGAAATTCAAATTAAAACTATCATAAGATATCACTACATACATAGGATAGTGGCTAAAATAAAAAAAATACTGACAACACCAAATGCTGGTGAGGATGTGGAGAAAAGGATCACTCATATATTGCTGGTGGGAAGGTAGAATGGTACAGCTATTCTAGAAAATGATTTGGCAGATCTTAAAAAACTAAATATGCAACTGCCATATGACCCAGCAATTGAATTATTGAGCATATACCCCAGAGAAATGAAATCTTATGTCTACAAAAAACTCACACACAAATGTTCATGGCCACTTTATGCATGATAGTGAGTAACTGGAAATAACCTAGACATCCTTCAAAGGTGTGTGGCTAAACATTGTGGTATGTCCATGCCATGGAATACTATTCAGCAATAAAAAGGAATCAATTCTCAGTATGTACAACAGCCTTGATGAATCTCCAGGGAGTTACGCTGAGTGAAAAAAGCCAATCCCAATGGGTTAGATATTGCATGATTCCATTTCTATAACATTCTTGAGATAATAAAGTTACAGAAATGGAGAATAGATGAGGGTTGCCAGGGACTAAGGAGGTGGTGGTGGTGGTGGGAGGGAAGTGGGTGTGGCTATAAAAGGGCAACAAGAGAGATACTTGTGGTGATGGAAATGCTCTGTGTATTGATTCTATCAGTGTTCATATCCTGGTTGATATTGTACTATGGTTTTGCAAGATGTTACCACTGGAGAAAACTGCATAAAGGATGCATGAGATGTCTCTGTGTCATCTCTTACAACTGTAGCTGAAATAAGTATCTCAAAAGAAAAACTTGAAGAAAAGCAAATGACAGGAAACAACCTAAAGCCACTAATCAATCTCCTCGCTTCTCTCCATCTCTCATCCAGCTATCTACCACAGAGCTGTAAGGGAGGAGAGGAGGGGAGCGCTTTACCCAGGGTCAACAGGGAAGGCTTCCTTGAGGAAGTATCATTTGAGCAGAGACCCAGAAGAGGAGAAGGATCCAGCATGGGAGGATGTGGAGAACAGTGTACCAGGCTGTGGGAACAGTGGCACAAAGTGGGCAGCCCCACCAAGCTGCCCTTGGTCTGAAGGGCCAGGTTCTGTTCTGAGTGGCCCCGTTGAACATGGTTCTTGTCTGTTGACAAACCATTCCACTTCTGCATTTCTCTGGGGGCTCAGATGCACCATATCCACCCAGATCCCTTGAGGGCCTATGTAGAATTAGCTGATGGACACCCCTCCTTCTCTCTGACCAGGGAGGGTGTCCCCAGGCTGAGGCTTCAATGGGCTGTGCTGCAGAGAGAGCTCTGAGGCCACCTCCTACATCCAGAGGAGGAGAGAAGCTCCTAGTGACTTCCTCCTTTCCCTGGCTCCCCACTGTAGTGGTGGGCACCCAAGGGAATGCAGAGGACTTAGGAAACCACGGCTGCCTGCGTGGCTGCAGGCCGGCGGGCTCCTTTGGGGCTGCTGTGCCCCAAGGGGGCTGCCTTTGGGCAGCTGGGCTGGGGGCCAGCAAGCAGCCCCTGGAGGCCTGGATCAGAGGGGAGGCCTCAAGTCTGAGCTACATTTAATTTTGGATGCTCGAGTCAGGTGTGGTATGAACATCTGTGCAATGAGCAAGGGGGACCCATCAGATACCTGTCCCACCTCCTTGGCCCCAAGCTCTTTGCTTCAGATACTCAGGACCCATGAAATGAACTGGGAGGATAGGGCAGGCCAAGCCAGCACCTTCTGTCTTCAGGTCAAATCCCCTCCCTAAACAGCAGGTTTCCCAAAGAGAAGTCAGGACTGTCATCTGCCCTTAGGCTTACTCAGTCCTCACAATAAAGCATTTAGCTCCTATTGTTATCATCATTCCCATTTTGCAGATGAGGAAAATGAAGCCACTAAGAGTTGATGCACAGAGGATGAGTGAGGGCACAGAGACCTGAGCCTGCGTCTGGCTCCTCAGGTCATGCTCCCAACCACAGCCAACTGCAGCTCCTGCCTCTGATCACAAAAGTAACCAAGAAAGGCCAGTAGTCTCTGCTAACGCCTAATGAGTGACCCAGACTGCAGGTTCAGAGGTGCTTAGGGATGCCTTTGTGGAGGAGGGAGGGAAGGTTTTGGGTGGCCCTGCCCTCCAGGGACAGCCAAGCAGTCAAGGGCAGGGAGGGCAGACTGGAGCCCTCCAGGCAGGCTTGGCTAGCCTCAGGGGCTGGAATGTGGAGACCACCCCAGCCCCAGGCTACTGCCTTTCTCATAGGGTTGGGGAGGGGTCCTCTCCCTTGCTCGGTTACTACTCTGTGTAAGTTTTGGTGGTGGTTTTGGCAAAGCTCTGCCGGGGGTAAGAAGAGAAGGGGAGAGGAGAAGATAGAGCTGTGGCTCAATGAGCCTTTCCCATCCCACTTTCTGAGCACAGCCGAGAGTGGGTGGTCACCTGGATGGACTGAGTGGCCACAATGCTCCCCTCCAATGTGCCCCAAATGTACCTTTGGAGTCCCTACTCTCCAATCCCCAAACATACACCCTGTTCTCAGCTGCCATGCCTTTGTTCATGCTGAACTCTTGACTGGAGAATACAGCATCTCACACTTCTGGGGGTCCACATCCCATCCACACTTCAAGGTCTCACTTAGACAACCCTTTCCCCATCCCTCAATTCAGAGGCTCCATCTCTCCAGCCTTTGGCCTCCTGATTCTTGTCATTTATTTGACTCTACCTTGAACTGTAATGATTGGTGTCTCTGCTAGATTGTAAGCTGCTCGAGGGCAGATCATATCATTAAATGCTTAGCACAGTCCTGACACAAAGTTGGTGGAAGGCCTATGGCAAGGGCTGTCCTTAGCTGCCATGTTGTGAGGATGCTCAAGCAGCCCTAGGGAGAGGTCCCCAAGGCAGAGGATTGAGGCCTTCTGCCAACAGCCAATGCCAACTCGCTAGTTGAATGGGTGAGCCACCTTGAGAGTGGATCCTTCAGCCCCAGTCAGGCCTGATGACAGCAGCCCTGGCTGACATCTTGATTGCAACCTCATGAAAGACACTGAACTAGGACTGCTCAGCTGAGTATCTCCCAAATTCCTGATCCACAGAAACTATGAGGCAATAAATGTCTATTCTCATTTTAAGCCACTACATTTTTGTGTTGT